GGCGGTATTACTGACTCGTGGTAATAAAGACCCCAAAAAAATATTTGGAAAACCAAAAGCGCAACGCACCATTTTTTTCTTGGATCTTTTTTAAGATTAGGGAATTGCCTTAAAAACGATGATATCGAAGCCTATCTTTAGTATTAAAAAAAAAACACCAACCCCTGGTTAACTTTATTAAGTATCTCTTATTAAGAACATTTACCAGTATAGCATTGTGATTACAAAAGTCAAATATAATAATTCGAAAATATCACCTTTTAGAAGACCTTCTGTACTGTAATAATGTACTTTACATACATTCTTAACCATTTTGGATCATAAGAGTTGATATAAATCAACACTATTTCGCATTTAATAATGCGATAACTTATTACATACCTATAGTCAACAGTAAGTAACATTACAAACCTATCAAAACAGAATATTTTTTTGCACTTTATTACGAAAAATCTAACCATTATAAGAAAAAATTAACATAGCACCTAAACGCAATCCTCTATCTTTCATCAAAGTTACAGGACTTAAAGATACCCCGTTTTTAAATTTTAAAAAATTGATATGGTTCCTAGAAAGACTAGTATACACAGCCATAAAACTCATTTTAAAAAATAAAACGCTGTAAATTAAAACAAAGGCAAAGGGATATTTGTCCACAGCCTAGCCTACGGTAGGGTACTTTGGAGTAATTAAGAAAGCGGGAAATTCCGACACTAAAATTAAGCAATATGTTTGTGGTAATTAAAAGATTTTTATCTAGTAAAAGCCTTTTAGTAGTCAAGTTTACCGACACAAAATTCTTGATTTGTTGTTAATTCGTCACTTTCAGGATTTGCTTGTTTTGGATACTATTCCAAGCGTTTTGGGTACTATCCTAAGCACCTTATTATAACTTACGTATCCTTAATGGGCGAATCATGAATGAATGAATGAATTATCTTTATATCAATATTGTGAAAATCAAATTGATAATTTGTTAACTACGTATTTATTATAATAAGCTAAACACCGAGTACTCAAACCGTTAACCGTTAAAGCCAGCTGCGTTAACAAGTTTCGATTCGTTTAAAATATCACTGTATTTGACATTTAGAAGTCTGTAATATCAATAATTAATAACAAATAAAAATAATGATTCCACATAGTTCAAAGTGATAAATTCACAGCATGAATTGAAACGTAACTTAGGGATGGGGTTGCCATAGATTTTCTTAATGCACCTATATGTTGCTACATAAATTATAAAACATCCACCAAATGATGTTCACATCAGAAAATAAAAATTTTGGCGGCGCCTAAAAATAATAATAATAATTTTTTAACAATATACTTGACGGAGAAACGATCAAATATTAGTCGTCATCATTAATGGCCTCCTGGACGTATAAAAAATTAGTTTATCGAACTTCCCAGACATCGCAAATCATGGTAACACCTTCATTAAAGCCACCTTTTAGATCGCATGCCCACGTTGATACACTTATTAAATCTACACAACCTACACCAGGACCTGGACACTTTGGTCATCTGGCATTTCATTCGAGAGTCTCTGCATTTATATATATTCTGATTCAAAGAATATGTACTCCTCTTGAAGAACTGATCACACGATTTACAAGTCCTGGCACCATAGTGCATTCCTGAAGCCACATCACCGCAAACAACGCATAAGTCTAAAAAAATATAAAAAGCATCATTATTATAATAAACATAATCATATATACTAATAAAGACGAAAGATTTGATTGTTGTTGGTTTGCTTGCATTGAATTGGCTTCAAAACTATTGGAGCAGCTTTTAAAATTCTTTCACTTACGGGAAGCTACATCATACGTGGTGACAGGCTACATATACCAGGGGAGAAGGAAAAAATCTATATAAATATAAATGATCGCAGGGTATGGAAGCAATAAACTCGAGAACGACTGGAGTAATGGTTCAATAATTTTAATTTTTAATAAACAGTCGTTGAATTACGAATTATCCATTTTTGTAACATTGAGATTGACGAAAGAAAAAATTCCTGAAGGTATTTTTCATACCACGAGGATCCTATCATAAAAAAAGTTGAAACAAAAAACTGATTTATTTTGTAAAATTGTGAAAATTAAACATTATTTTTATATATGCCTCCGTTAATCGGTAGGTTTCTGGATCGGATATAATATTTTAAATTTTTTCGCTTTTCTTTGTTAAATTATGTATCTTACTGTAAATATGTATCTTACTGTAAATACGTATATTAAATTTATAACTCGTACGAATTAACATGACATCTCATGGTCTGTTAAAGCAGCGTCAGGTGCATCAAAAATTATCGAAAAATGCATTAATTTGGAGTCTTTTTAACATTAAGAAAATAGACTAATTTTCGTTTTCAGAGAAATAGAAAAACCTCCATGTTAATTCTTACGAGTAATATAGTTGTACCTAAACACTCTAAACAGTGTTAAAACCCGACTCCGATTTCTATTATAAAAGAAAATCTAGGAAAAAAAATTGCATTCATAATACTTTTTATTATTAAATTGATGTCAACATTATATACACAATACTTAGTACAATGAACGAAGACAAATGCTATGATTCTGTAGAATTCTGCCAGTTAACAGGGACTTGCAAAAATTTGGATATAGATCCGGCTTATCCTTCAATGTCCCACCTTCTTATAGTCCAATAACTAGTTCCTTAAACGTGCAAGAGATTTCTAAAGTTTGTTATTTCATTATACTGAAGTTGTAAGGGTCATCGCTCAGTACCCAGATAGGCGACAGGGGACATGTGGGACTCTCGATCTACACGGACCCTTCAGAAGGCTAGTCAAAACGTGGATAGCATATCCATTAAACCCCCTTTGATGCGCCCTCACTTTTGAAGGAAAGATGTGAGGTCTAGTAAGAGCTGCTCGCCACCCCGGTTGGGTGTGAAGCATTTATGTCACCAGTCCTCTATCTATTGAGGGTGAAGAATTTTACTTTGAAAATAAGTCCGGGAAAGATAGATTCACTAATCACATATAAAGTAACATCGACAAGCTTTTCGAATGAATAAAAAAGTCGACGATATGTGACAAAATTCAAAAGCTTTATTTTATTAGCTACTTTAAAAAAAGGTTTATTTATTATTAGCTACTTTTTTACCAACAATAGTTTTCGTTAAAATATTACTTTTGATTTTTTTGCGTGAAACATGTGTTTCAGTAAAGAAAACATTTCAAAAATTAGGTTGCATAGAATTAGTTTACCAATTTTAAGACTTCTTTTCTACAAAAAGCTGTTCAACCCTGAAAATATGTTACTCCGGCCAACCAGAATGAAAGCGACCTCGGAACAGGTTTAATTTCTAAGTACAAGCTAAGAACTTAAATTCAATTCCGCGCTGCTTGGCAAAATTATACAGAAATATGGCATTGATTGAACTAAAAAGCATAGTTTAAACAAAAATTATTAAGGAATTCCCATCTTATTTCTAAACTTTGTTCTCTTACAGTAGATATCACGATTCTACGTAATACTTATTATCTGCTGCAAAGTATAAACTGTGCTGCAATTATTTGTACATAATAACAATCATTCGCGACAAGCATTATAATTTTATGTCGTTTTTACGTATTCTTCGCAAATTTGAGATTTTTATTATAGTACGATCGTCGAACAGAAAAAAAATGTAGAATGACCCGGCATTACATATCTCTGTCGCTTGTGCGCAAAAAGTATATAGCTATTGCGCTCACACTATATAAATAAACCGAATTCTCTCTGTTCGGCGACGTTGTTTATACAGTTGGACCATCTTTACTGTCATCTTTTACTAAACGGGAAAACGCTAGAATACTTTTAAATCATTCACCTACAGCTGAAAGTACTATACAAGAGTCCACCTATATTAAATTGAATTCAGTACTCAACCGAGCAGCGGTAGGGGCTGCATGAAGAATGGACGGCATAAGAAAAGCCACTTGCGTTCTGCTGGTATGTAAAGGAGTGGCCATCTACCGGTCAAGGTACCTCGGCTCATCGAGGTAAAGAACTCTAGGAGTCCGTCCCTGACCCGAAGGAGCTGAGAACGTTCCTGGTTGGAGTTGGGCTGGCTAAAATAATATGTATAATCAACTCCATAATAAAAACAGGCGCAATTTTGACATCGAGTTGCGCTCGTAGACCGGATACGTTGTCGTTGCATTCAAGAAGTGTATTTTAAATACTCGCTTACATATTATTGTTCGAAATGAGCGTGATAACATCTATAATTGAATACAAGTACTCGAGCATTATCCCTCTCGATACGATTTGATACATTAGTCAATATTCTACTTCCATTCCACTAATAAGACATCCAATCATGGATCGTGATTATGCTCTGTGTTCTTATAATACATCATACCGTTGGACTGGCGTATGACAGCCTTGCAGCCGAAATAACTCCTTCTACTGCATTCCCACCTCTCTTTCATATTACGGGAGTATTGTAATGAGAATCTGTAACCGTCTACAATCATCATACGCCTATTATTGCGGGATATTGTGTAATAAACTGTAACAAACATTCTTATATAACAAACAAGATCTGTGATAGATACCAAAAAACTACATTTTCTCATTTAAACGAACTTTAAGATTTTTGTTACTTTTTATATATCTATAATCGACTCACTCTAGTCCTCAAAATAGCCTAAGGACATGAACGAGATCTACAGTGGGACGAATTTGTCTAGAAGGAATCTTATAATTCTTCCTTGAATGGGTCTGGGTTATATGCACTCGGGAATTTAGACGCCATCAGGGAGCTCCACTATTTTGCAGTGCGTAGTAAAAATATGAAAAATAGCGCTTTGTGCGGCATTTTGGAATATCTGCCAAAGGACTATAGTATTCCGCCGTGCGTCTCAATTGCCGATAGTAAAACGCTGAAGGCGGAATGAGCTCGTGCGACTCCTGAGCACACTCCCCGTAATATATCTTTTGCATTTACTTAATATAAAACTTCAGCCAAAACTACTATGCAAGTTATTATTTAAAACCCAAACGAGTATGATAGCGTCTATAATTGAATATGGGTAATTTATAGAGATCTCGACCATTATCCCAATCGATACGATTTAACACAATACCACACACAATTTTAAGCTAAAATAAAATATCCAATCATGGTTCATGATTGTGTTCTACGTTTCTATAACGCAACACCCCATTATTAAGGCGTACGACAGCCTTGCACCCATAATAGCTCCTTCTACTGCACTGCCACCTCTCTTTAGTATTACGAGCGTATTGTAATGAGAACCTGTAACCGCCTATGATCATCATACGCTTTCTATTGCGGGATATCGTGTAACTAACTGTAACAAACAAGATTCATCAGCATTCTCTACTTCGTTAAAGCCGAAATACAATTTTCCTTTCACTTCTAAAACAACTAACTTTGAAGACATATTTACATTCTCTGTATCTTTTATCCACTAATTATACCCTTATATTTTATGCCAATCGTTTATAGCTAAATTGCTAGTACTATGCAAGTGATTTCATCCATTTGAAACTCGAATCAATATGCTAGGCTAGAAAACTCTATTCGTTACAATGTTATTTAAATCTTTAAATGATTTTGGTTACGTCTATGAATGACTTTCGGTGATTACATCTATGAATGAAAGCATTCGAGCATTATCCCTCTCAGTATGATTTGACAAAACACTAGTAAACATTTTCAGTCAAAAATAAAACATACAATCATGGTTCGTGATTATGTTCCGTGTTTCTAAAATGCATCACTCCGTTGTACAGACGAATGACAGCCTTGCAGCCGAAGAAGCTTCTCCTACTGCATTCCCACCTTTCTTTCATATTGCGAGCGTAGTGTAATGAGAACCTATAACCGTCTACAATCATCATACGCCTCCTATTGCGGGACATAGTGTAAAAAACTGTAACAAAAATATATAAGTTTAAAAACTCACATAAACAGTTTTCAACCTTAGGTAAATGTAAAATAGAGATCATTACTTCTGAATTCTAAGCTAGAGGATGTCTTAAGAATATTTCAGAAGTACACAAAGATTCTCTTACATATGTAACTTACAACCTGTAAGAAAAATATACCTTTTCACAGTAGGAGGAATGTGTTACCGCTTCGCCCGTGACGTACACGACAAAGTTATGTTGTCTGGGACTCTTACTGCCGCATTGGCCTCGAAGACTAGTTAAAACGCAGTGGCATAACAAGTAAACTCTTTTCTATACCATTTAGTATTGGAATAACCGCAATGACTGTTAAGTACCTACTTAGGTCCGAATTTTTAAAAGTTATGGTAAGAATTGTAACCAAACAGAGTCACATCAAAGAAATAGCAAAATCGCAGATATTAATCACTATTATAGAACTAAATATAGAACTAAAAAGTTTACAGAGAGAAGCAAAATGCTTTTTTTCTCTTAAAATTAAAGCTTTTCCCTTTTTTATCAATTAATAAATAATACATGAAAATAATCTTTAAAAATAATCAGTCTTTTAATTTCTAATAATCGTTTTGGAGCAATATACACAAGACTGTGCTCACCACACAAAGTTTTTTTGCATTTAATGCATGTTATTTTTGACATCCTTTTTGTTCTATATGAGCAAAAAGCACAGTATTTCCGCTTTCTAGGCTCAGGATTTCTTTCCTGTTCAACGTCTAGATCATTTGGTTTAACGAGTGTTTGCTTTATATTTTTCGTGAATAGATATCGTCATCGTTTGGCCTCTGAGACCGCGACATATTGGTAACTAAAACAATACCAAATATATACTAGTACAAGCGCAAAGGATACGGCGAGAAGAAATAGATAACCTCAATTATAATCAATAAAAATAACGTATCATTTTTAGCGTATTACACAGGACACGTTGGAAAGAATCTAGAAAGTATACAAAAGGTAATGTTTTTGTTACGTAGCAATCTCTTTCAGGTATCCTGTGACGAAAAATAAAATGTTGTGTATTAGATACCTGAAATGAAACAACGTAATTGCATTTATGAAGTTTTATTTTTATACTATGACAAAATATAAACAGCATCCAAGCATTAGATCTACAAGCAGCAAAATCACCAACTATAGGGACGAGCTAATAAATCGATTTACCCCAATTTCTATAATAATATTGATAATTATTGTTGAATTGTTATAGTTAAATTACTTTGAGCAGTGGCGGACTAAATTGGGAGGGGCGGAGGGGGCCGTCAGCACGGGCCTCCGGTCCAAGGTCCTAGTCCTCCAAAATCATAATAACATTATAATTTTATAAATGTATGCGCGAGGGAGGGAAAGCAATATCAAGATTCTACCGCGGTTGGAAAAAGTGGTCGATTGCCGCCCCGGGCCTCCGATGAGGTTAGTCTGCCACTAACTTTGAGTATCATTTATAATAATTATATCTGGCTCTTCATCTAACTGAATATAGCTATTAGCTATAGCTACAATCGTGTCAAAAAGAACTCGATAACATACAATAGCATTAAGACGAGAAATTATCGGAAAATTATTTCGGGGGATTGCAAATACAGTAAAACCTTTTTTAGTCGATTTCCCAGGGACCTAACCGAAAACGCGACTTAAACGTATTATGTCGTGTATATCTTAAATTACTCATTACATATGTCAAGTATATTTTGTTACGATACACCAGAATGTATATTTAATTGTTTTTTTTAATCCCTTATGGTTGGCGAAAAGATTTTTATACATAACCAATGACAAGATTTTCAATATAATTTTTTTTTCATTTCGCAAAGAAGCTACTGTTAGAAGGAAATACATCGACTACTACTGGTAGCACTGCCAAATACATCGACTACATTGTCTATTGTACTACGGACAACCCTATCTGTCAGTTAGCTGTTACTGTGATTTTGACTTTGACGTTTCATCAGTTTCGCGCCAATATACTTCCGGTTGGTAATTCTTATAAAACTATTGGAATCGGCGTGGTGATTTTAAATATATCAATTAAATAGTAATGTCTTTTTCACTACATAGCGATTTAAATTGTTAATTGCTGATTATGCTTAAGCGTCTGCCAAATGGGAGAGTCTTCTTCACATACGGCCTCCATTTTTGTGTTATTCACATCAGGTTAGCCACCCCTTCCTGCGTTTCGTTTTCATATTAATTTACTCAACAATCACTCCATTCGCGCCTTAGGTATTCCCACGCACGTCCCACCTCTATTTTACAATATTTTATTATGATTTTGTTTAAATAATAGATATTCATGCATTGTCAATGCATTTTCTACGACATCTCTAAAAGATTTTTTAATTCAATTGTTTTATTTTTACCGCTGTACTTCTGCTGACAATGGTGACCTACATAATACTGATTACCTTTGGTGACCGTGCGAATGTCCCAAACTGTATTTCCCAAAAGGTGACAAACCTGATTCATATCACTCACATGGTTTCGTAAGGTGCCACTTGGGATTAGTGGAAGATGTAGAGATGAGATCTTCTCCCAATACGAAAAAAAATACAATTATTTTTGAAACCTGCTTTCTTTAACACTATCTGGGCCCTTATTCCCTATGACAACCTAGATTTGAAACTTGAATCTTACCACGGGAAAACCACATCAATATCACATCTGGCTCTAACCATGTCACGGTAAGTAATCTGTTGAATAATTCTATTCCGTATGGTCCAAGCTATATCTACCGATAGGGGGCGTTGTTACAATGCTGCTACGAGCAATTATAACGCCGTCGTGTTTTAAACTTGGGTAGTCGCAGGAATTGCGCTCAATCCCGGGTGTGGTTTTTTTTCATATCGCGCAGAACTCGTGCGTTCATTCAATGTGCATAGTAAATACAAATATTAAATACGATATTGACGTAGTTTGGAAGCCAAAGTCATAGCGAATAATTAAGGGTCTAAATGGTTTCAGGCTTCTTTAACTCTCCGCTGCAATGTTTAGAATCGCATCATGCGCAATTCTGCCTATCTGTGGTCGAGCAAGATAAATTTACGCATGTACTGCATACATTCCGAATTATCCGAATGTCGAATCGTTTTACCTAATCATGCACATTTAACCGTTGCTAGTTGTACATTTGCAGTCGTTAATACCCTCCTGTCGGGATTCGGGAAGGACTGAGCCCCTGCAGTGGGGAGTGGCGCATCATTCGAGAAATCGTGTTATGTGGGTTTTATTGTATTTATATTGTAATGTGTTCAACGTGTAAGTTGTGAATAAAAGTAACAATAATAATTTAAAACTTTACTGCCAAGTGTGATTGGTTTTACAACTCAAAGCGTAAAGGTACATCTCTGAAATTTTAAAATTATTTCTATGAACCCTATTGCATTATTAGGTTTAGGTACTAATCAAATTGATCATTATTAATAGGGATGATGCTTGGGTAAAAAGGAAATTCTGATAAGCCCGCCAGTAAGATAATAAAATAAAAATGGTAAGGTTTTGTTAAATTTAACAAGAAATGGCTTAAATAAATAGACATTAAAGTTGAGGCGACTCACCACGTCATTATTGTTTGACTAAAAAATATCGAATACCATGGACATCACTATCGCCCGCCCGCGAATATCCCGCTCGGATGAATGAGGAAGTATTTAAAAAAATAAAGAAAGCATTAAAATAGCAGCTCACTAGATGGCGACTATAGCAAAAGTTAATTTTTGCGGGAAACGAATGGACCAAAGACAGTCATTTCTGTTCCTTTTAACTTACATATTAAAAAACTGAAATTTGCAAAGTTCGAAACTTAGATATCAATATAAATACGAAAAATTAAAAATGGAACAAGGATTGTTTATTGAGTTTTGAAAATTAATTTACTTTTATACATGAAAGAAATACGGAAGGGTTGTCATGGAGAAATTAAGAAAGTACCGTAGCGACATCTAGCTTGATTTCGGGAACTAATGTTTTTATTTCAATTCTTCCTCATTATCGAGGTAGTGTTAAAATATAAAATAAACCAAATAAACAAGATAAACTGGGATTTTAATACAACTATCGAAAATCTACATAGGTATCGACGTCATGTGACATTTCAGCTGATATCGCCGATATTTATTATGTAAAAAAAGTGTTTAATACTTTTCAATAATCTGCCTGATAGAAAAAAAATGTCATGATCCTTATCAATCTTAAGGTACCTAGTCAATCATAAACTTTTTGAAGCAATATGGAAATATAGGTTAGCCAACATATGTTCTAATCTAATAAATTTTTTTTTTAAATTTATTTTTGTATTTAACAATTTCTAAAAAATTTTTATTGAAAATCTGCAGTTGCACAAACGTCCATTAGGGTTTAATGACACCGTTAACCTTTAATGAATGTAAAATTCTTATAGGTAATTTCGCTTTCAACCAATGACATTTTTAATGAACTTTTGTGCAACTGGCTGAAAGGGTTTAAAAAAAGTAGTCGGTTTTTTATATGAGATCATTATAATG